GCAGCAGTGTCGTGCCCACTGCTCCCCTCAGCAGTGTACTTTGTCAGTCTGCCTGTTCTGCTCCCTGCTCTGGCTCTGGTGAATTCTCTCACCCTTCCGCGCTTCTGACTGTACCCAGCGATTATATGAATGAATAAATAAATCTTTAGAAAAAAAAGAATTTAAAAAAAATGATTTATTTATGCATGCAAGAGCTGGGGTATAGGCCAGAGGTGCAGGGGGTGGTGAGAGGATTCACCAGAGACAGAGTGGGGAACAGAACAGGCAGACTGACCAAAGTATACTATTGAGGGGAGCAGCGGGCGATTCAGGAGAGACTCCCAGCAGCAGACACTGCTGCACCATGTGGGTTGCTCCCTGGCTGGCCAGGGATGGAACTCGTGCTGCAGAGGCTGCGGATTGCTTCATAGTGCAGATTTTACCTATTACTTCTAGGGTCTGCAGGACTGGTGATTCTTGGTAAATACCCTACATCTCCATGTCCCCACCTGCAGTCGTGCCTGGGGGTTGCCTAAGCCTAAGCCTAAGGCGTTTCCATTTCCAACAGCTGGTATAATGACTCATTAATCATTTCTACCCCCACCTCTCGTTTGGGTTTTTTTTTTTTTTTTCAGCCTGTGAAGCTTCCATCCTACATTTCCTACTCTCGTCAAGATCAAGGGCAGTAACCCAGTGAAATACAGAAGCCAGTCATCCTGCTGAGTCTCAAACGCTCCACAGTCTCACTGGAGCTCTTCTCTGTGCCTCCACAGCTTCATCTGTGAAACAGGAAGAATATGCCCTACCAAGATGGACGTTCTTGAACCATACCAGGCATGTGGCAAGCAGGGCAGATAGTGAAGACAGGCGAGGCTGCTCAAGTGTGATCAGGAAATGCCTGCTGGGTGAGGACTTGAGGACTCGGGCTCAGGAAGGTCTAGGGGACATGCATTCCAGGCTCTGCAGGGCCGCCGTGGGAAGCTGCTGCACTTAGAAACTTGCAGGCCATGGTAACAGAGTATAGGATTTTAAGCTGCTTCTTTATTTATCTTTTTATTTTTTTACATTTTAAAAGGAGAGGCTTATTGGGAAAGGGGAAAGAGACACATCTGCATAGTCACAGGTGGGCAGGAGAGCGGTGAGGATTTTAAGCTTCCGATAAAGGTAAGTTACTGAAGGATTTTAAAGATTTATTCTTATTTATTTATGCATACAAGAACTGGGGTGTAGGCCAGAGGTGTCGGAGGGTGAGAGGATTCACCAAAGCCAGAGTGGGTATAGGGTAAGTAAAGTATCAGGCTTTTCTGCCCTCCCACCATTAGGATTGATGATGGATCCTTGTGGTCCTGAATGCATGCCTGATGGCGGGCACCTGGAATGGGGTGTGGGCATACGTAAGTGGGTACACCTGGGCTGAGAGACTGGGCTTATAAAGGCAGCGTCACAGGGACACCAGAAGAACCACGAGAGGAAAGAGAAGCAGAAGCAGAACCACGAGAAGCAAAGAACCACGAGAGAAGCAGAGGGAACGTGAGAAAAGGCCAGAGAGCCCAGAAAGAGTAAAGACTTGCTGGGGGCTGGGAGGCCTGCTGGCCCCCCGGCACCTCTGCCTGCCATGTACCTGGTAAATCCCAATAAAAGCCTGCAAAAGCCACTGAGGGCTCCAGGACTTCTCTGTCACTCCGTCTGCATAGAATCATAGAGATCCTGCTCCGTGCCCATTCCTGCCACTACAGTGGAGGAAAGTGAGACAGGAGAGATCTGCTTTGCCATGTGAATCAGCTCCCAGGCCAGGGATGGAACTCCTGCCACAGTGGCTGGCGATAGCTTGATAGCACTGAGAGACCAGGAGGCCCCTACTGAAGGATTTTAAAGGGGGAGGGAAGGTGAGGCAAGCTCTGATTGAATGTAAGAGAGGGTCATCCTAGCCCCCTGCAGAGAAAGGTCAGTGGGATAGGCAGAAAGAGGCAACTGGAGCATCAAGGAAGGAGGAATGGAGGCAAGATCTCCCACCCCAGTCCAGGGACCCACAGTTGAGAATGAGACACCACACTCCAAATTCTTCTCCATCTGGGCTGGGCAGAAACATCTTGGCCAAAATATGGGGGAAATGATTAAACTCTGACATGAAAGAGACTGTAGCAGATGGCCTGTGGGCCCACAGCAATAAAATTTTAAAAGAAAACAAAAGACATTACCCAAGCAACTCAGGAAAAATGTATCTTCCCTTGTATCTTGGAACATATTATTATTTATTATTGATATGACTTAGACTAACATTGAGTGATTATATGTGCCCAGGGTATCATGCAAAATTCATGTTCTCATTTCATTCTCACAGAATTTCTACCCATTTGTTCAACAATTCAACAAATAGGAACTACAGCACAGTCTCAGGTAAAACAGATCAAGTCTCTACCCTCTTAGAGTACACACCTCAGAGGAAGAAACAGAGCCTAAACAAGAAAACAAAAAAAGAAGTCAGTGCGTTGAGAACTCTGAAGAAAAATGAAGCAGAGTAAGAGGATGAGGAGGCATGGAGAGACCAACAGCTGTTTTAGGGTAGATGGCCAGAGTATACAGCTCCTTAAAGAGATAATTTTTGAGTGCAGCCATGGATGATGGGACCAACCCAGGCATGGGTAGATCTGAAGAATGTGCCATCCTGAAGGGAAGAGAAAGTGAAGAGATGGAAATGAGGTTGGTATAGTTGTGGCATAAAAAGACCATGGTGTGCCTCCCTGGTGGCCTAAGGGTTAAGTCTCAGCACTGTCACCACTACCACCTGGGTCCCATCCCTAGCCAGGGAGCTAATTCACATAGGCGCAGCAGACCTATCCTGACTCGCCCACTGCTCCCCTCAGCAGTGTATTTCAGTAGATCCCCCAGTTCTGCTCCCCACTCTGTCTCTGGTGAATCCTTGTGCACACACACACACCTCTGTCCTCCCTCCCAGCTCTTCTATGCAAGTACCAAGATAGCAGTGAAACTTCCACTGGGTATCATTAACAAAAGTCAGGAAAATTGAACCTAAGTGTCCACTGATGGGTGAATGGATAAAGAAATGCAATATATATTTATACAACAGAATATTATTCAATCATAAAAAAATGAAATGTCGCCATTTTGCAACAATATGAATAAACCCCAAGGGCATTACACTAAGTGAAATAGGTCAGACAGACAGAAAAAATACTGTATGCTCCCACATATGTAGTCTAAATGGGTTAAAAGAATCAAAAGATACAAATTTCCAGTTATAAGTGTCTTGGGGAGGTATTGCATAAGGTTGTAAAGAGCAGCTCTTAAAAGTTTTCATCACTTAGAAATTTTGTGACTATACAAGGTGACAGTAACTAAACATTTTGTGGCGATCACTTCCCCATGTATACAAATATCGAGTCATTATGTTAGGGGGAAAAGGATGTCCTAAAGCTAATTCCATACAGGCTTTGTGGACTCCACCCCCACCCCAGGCCAAAGCCAAAGACACTGGGAACTCCAAATCCCATCCCCACCAAAGGGAAGGTGGCTGGGACCTGAGGGTGGCGTTAAGCAGCCAAGTGAGTATAAAGACAGACACATGGGCTTTGGGGGGGGGTCCCCCATTTTGGCTCTCCACCAGCCAGCAGCGTCTGGCCAGCTCTGAGAGTGACTTTGGGTTTCCAGGTCAGCGGATCGGGTAGGACGCATTAAAGACTTTATTTCCCTATTTTCTCCCTGAGTTGTACATTTTCCTTATTTCCTCTTCCCTTGTAAATAAACCTTTTATTAACCTTTTGTGTGTGTCTGTAGTGGAGTATTCATAAGACCCTTTTAAGCGCGCGGGTGAGGACCCACAGCCAGGAACCCGTTCAATATCGGGGCTGCCCTATAACAATTATGTTGTACATCTGAAACTAACATGTCAGTTACACCTCGAAAAAAATTAGAAATCTGGGAGATGAGCAGACTGAGGAAGAATGTATGGAAACAAATACTGCTGTTAACATTTTCATTTTAAGGTTCCGGGACAAAGTCCGATGGCGGGCAGCTGCGGAAAGGGCAGCACTGATGCCCACCGCAGGGAAGAGGTTCCTAAGTTGCCATTTCAAAATCAGTTGCTGCTTAAAACGCAGATTCCTGGGTTCCAGCTCGCGCGTTTTAATAGCCACCGATGGAACACCCGGATCTGCATTTTGCAAACTAGCGCTGCAGAACAAAGCTTGGGAATGTGGGGTACGGCTAGAGCCCTGAAAGCCAGCCCCTAAGCTAGCAGTCTAAAGCACAGAGATCACTCTACCCCTTTGGAATTCAGTTTCCCAAGTTATAAAAGACGTGGGGACCACAACGCCGCCATGACGGTCGGGCCCGCCCCTTGCTCGGCGAATCCAATCACGTGATTGGTTAAGGGCGCCGCGGCGCATTGTGGGATACAGAGGGATCGACGCGCCCGTGAAGCATTGTGGGACACAGAGGGGCGGTCAGCTGCTCCCTGCCTCCAGCTTCTATTGCACTGCCGGCCGCCACGTCTCAATAACTCTGAACGCCCTCACCGGGCGTGGCCGGATGCCTCCGTGACGTAACTGGAGACCAGCCTCTGGCGTCTTGGCACCTCACAGGTTGAGGCGAACACCTCGTGAATATCAGTGACGATCTTCCGGGTGCGCCCTTGCTTTACGACTCGTGCGTCCTGCCGCCGAACCCGGAAGGAGCGGGGGGTGCAGTTTACGACAGTGCCGTACTGTTTGGCGCGCCGGCCGCTGCGCGCGCATCTTTCTTCTTTTCCCGGGTCTTCGCGTTGCAGCTGGCGGCCCGGTCTTCGGCCCGGAATATCTGTCGCCATCCGGGGCCGGCCAGAGCCTTTGCAGGTGAGCGGCGTGTTCTACAGGGTTCCCCGGACCTCCGGAGTCGCCTCATGCTGGGCACGACCTCCGAGGACCTTCCGGAAGAGACCGCTCCTACATCCCCTCCCGCCGCCGCTGGCCCTGCGCTGGGCGGGGCAGGAGTCCCCCTCCGGGGGCCCAGACCTGGCCCCGGCCTGGTGGGTGAAGGCCCCGATCCTCGACTCCGCTAGCAGCCACGAGCTGGGAAAGTCAGTCATGCCGTAAAGCCCGGGTCTTTTTTCAGTGACTGCCGGCTCCCCGAGGTCCTCGGGTTAGGTTATCGGGGAGTCCGAGCTGGGCGGTGGTCGACTTGCTCCGGGGAGTCCAGAGTTCAGAGACTCAGAAGAAAACCTTTCCTGTAAAACGGAAGGTTAGGCCGGAGTGGGTTCGATCTCGGGCCGTCCCCCCGGGGATTGTCAGCGTGTGGTCTGTAGTGGCCGCGATCACCTACACAGCACCGTGGCCGGCCAGCCACGGGGCCCCTCCTGACTGCCCACTCGGTGTCCCCCCTCTCGACCCTGCAGCCAGGACAGCTGTCACTCCGTTTTCATTGAGCGCTCCTTGCTGGCTCCGTTCCGGGCACTGGATGTTACAAGTGCTGAAGCCAGGGGACTCCCTTCGCTGCCTGGAGAGGTGCTGGCAAACCTGGGGCCTGGTTCCTTCTGGAGCTCTGACAGAAGAACTGGATGTTTTTAACTGCGTGTCTTGAAATGTCCATGCTGTGTTACTAGGGAAGGTGTGGGCCCAGGTCTTTTCAGGTTTCTGTCCAGCTGTAATAGGATAGAAAGAAAGCTGGACTTACGGCAGGCAACCCTGGAACCAAGTCTATTTTGAAGAGCTTGGCGGATCCACTGCGTGATTTGGCTGAGCTTTAAGGTGTCTAAAATGGGGGTGCGGAGGTGTTAGTGGTGTTGACTTAGCATGGTGCTTGTGTGCAGGACGGGCGGGGTAGTATTGAAGCTGAATTATTTGAAGACCACCTCCCCTTCCTCGGTGCCCTTTCTGCCGTGTAGCTGCACAGATCAGATCACCCTACTGTCACCTCTAGGGCGCTTGCGTCCCCCCGTGACAAGACAGTGACAAGTTTTACTAAAGTCAGTGTCTTATGCTCTCTGATTGCTCTCCAGCCTCGGGAAATATTTGTGTGATGAATTTTCCTCAACTCATTCAGCATTTTCAAAAGGTTGCAAAAGATGATAAATGCATAGTTTTTTTTTTTTTTTTAATAGGAACTGTCTGGTAAACATCTCCAGAGCCCCTGGGTTTTACTCCCTTGATGGGCGCGATAACACAGTATAAACTTGAGCCAAGCTGTCTGGGTTTTTCATCAACTAGCGTTGCGACTTTGGCAGTGTATGGAAGTTGGGGATAATGCTCCCCCAACCTCAGGATTGTCAGAGGGATTTAATGACTGATGGTAAGCACTAAACACAGCCTTGCTCATATTTATGAACACCCAAGTGTACGGCTGCTGTTGGGACCTGTGTTCCTGGTGACCTCAGTCTGGCAAGCCTTTTGCTTTCTTCTTTGTCCACTTGTTCTGCATAAGGATTTGCATCGACAAAAGAAAATTAGAAGAACTGAAATAAAAGCAGAGCTTCAGGATATATTTAAGGGCTCTTCCCTGCCACCCGGGATCTATGTGCTCAATGTATTTCTGCGAGTCTCAGTGGTAACTGGCATTTTACAATGAAAGCATTTCCATGTGTTTTATCTAGTAAGGCTTTCGCAACAATCCAGTGTTGTGGGAAAAAGTAGGATCCTGCTTATTTTACAGATGAAGGGACTAGGGCTTAGGGACGTTAAGAGGGTTCTTAACTTCCTTGCCTTGGAATTTGCCTGAGAGCCAGAAGGTGGCCATTACACTTGAAAAAAGTTACAGCATTTCATCAAATTGGTGAGACACAACTGAATTGAAGAAGCACTGTAATAAGAAAGAAACGCTGTCAATTAAGATAGGACACCTCTTGGTGTGTAAGGTGTAGCGTCTGCAAAGACCTTACTGAGAAAAAGTAAATGTGCTAAATCAGTTTTAAGTCCTCTGAATTGTAAATATTCACACACAAAAAAAATTAAAACATGAAGTGAGGAGCCCAACTTTGTTGCTTTTTGAATTTTATTACTTCTATCTTAGCTTCCCTCAGATGGAAGGTTTTTCTCTGCTTTGGTGTTTTCTTAGTGCAGCTACTTACTCGTTTGTATTTTCAAGGTGCTAGAAGATGGCCAAGTTCATGACTCCGGTGATCCAGGACAACCCCACAGGCTGGGGCCCCTGCGCAGTCCCTGAGCAGTTTCGGGATATGCCTTATCAGCCGTTCAGCAAAGGAGACCGGCTCGGAAAGGTACTTGCCTGCCAGCAGGAGTCGGAGTCTTTTAAGCAGTGGCTGCTCCTTTCTACAAGTTCGTTCCAATTTTACTCTCAAAAGTGTAACCCCTGCGTTTCTTAGAGGGACGCCAGCTGAGAAAGGTGATGACCTCTGGTTGCTGCCAGTAGTCAGTCGGGAGGGCTGGGCACACACACGGCACTGTGAGCCGGCCCCTCCAGTGCTCTCCCGCGCCCTCTCCTCTTTGGGGGTTTCTGGGTCAGCAGAACCTCGCCCAACTGACCTGTGCTCTGTCTTCCCCTGTTGCTTACTAGGTAGCGGACTGGACAGGTGCCACATACCAGGATAAGAGGTACACAAGTAAGTTTTCTGCCAGCTGCCTGGATCAGGGCCTTGGGGGGAGGGGAGTTACTTTTTTTAATAGTCTCCATCTGAAGGTATTTTAATATCTCCATCTGAAGGTATTCTGGTATGGGAAGAAGTGCTAGTGGTAATTCTTAGTTTCTAGGGGTCTGTTCTGACCTGTGGACAAAGACCACTTTTTTTTTATTTAGCCCTAAACTGTTGGTTAAAGTGGTTCGTATTATTATTTGGTGATTTTCCCCTAACTTGGAGGGAGCCAAGAACTCTTTTGTAAATCTGTTGAACACATTCTCATTGTGTTCATTGCTTGGCATTTGCTGGACCTGGACAGCAAATAATGGCCACAAGCGTGAAGCCCCTGCTTTTACGGCGCTGATGTAGTGAGTGGGCTCTGGCAGGTTGAGATAGTTGAAAGTGGTTACCTGCAGCACTAGATGAAGATTATCTCTGACTGGGGTCAGCAAGAAAGTATGTCATAGTCCATTAGCCACGTCTGCTGTGTGAAGGCCGTATTTGCCTCCTGTGAGAGTAAATCATAACTCACTATTTATTTTTGTTTGGTTGTTTTTTAAACTAACATTAATTTTTAACTGAGGTGATATTGAGGTGCCCCCATCAGGTATTGCCCCCGAGTGCGCCCACCACCACCTTACCCATATTTCACCACCATAGGCCTCTTTGTCCTTACCCCAGCCCTGCCTCCTCGGCGCCGCGGTTCTGTAGTCCACTGTCAGGGGTTAGTTTTCAGCTTGTCATCAGCTGACTGTTAAACTTAGGTACTTTATATTCCACATGTTTGTGACACCATCCACTATTTATCATCTCCTTCTGACTGATTTCACTTAGCATTATCCTTTCCAGCTCCATCCCTGTCACCACAAATGGCATGAATCCCCTTGGTGATGCTGTGTGATCCTTGTAATGCATTGTTGGATTTGGTTTGCTGGGACTTTAGTAAGGATTTTGCATCTGTGTTCATTAGGGAGATTGGTCTGTAATTTTCTTTCAATGTGTTGTCTTTGGTTTGGGAATTAGAGTAATGTTGAGCTCATAAAATGTATTTGGAAGTCTTCCTTTTCCAATTTTTTGCAAGAGTTTGAGCAAGGTATTATTATTTGGGGATTTTCCCCCAACTTGGAGGGAGCCATGAACTCTTTTGTAAACGTGTTGAACACATTCTCATTGTGTTCATTGCTTGGCATTTGCTGAACCTGGACAGCAAATAATGGGCACAGGCGTGAAGCCCCTGCTTTTACGATGCTGATGTAGTGAGTGGGCTCTGGCAGGTTGAGATAGTTCATCTTTGAAGGTTTAGTAGAATTCACTTGTGACGCCATCTCGTCCTGGAGTCTTGTTTTTTGGGAGACTTGTGATTACTGTTTCCATTGCCTTCCTTGTGATTGGCTTGTTTAGGGTTTCTCTCTCTTCTCTGTTCCGTCTCACCATTGTATCATTCCAACAGTTTGTCCAGCTCTTCCTGGCTATTGAACTTGTGAGCATATAGCGGTTCATAGAGTCTCTAGTTATTCCCTGAATTCTATTTATTTGAGATTTCTCCGTATTTTGTTGGTGAGCCTTCTAGAGGCTGGTCTATTTTATTTTTTCAAAGAACCGGCTTTTGGTTTTCTTGACCTTTATGCTATCTTTTTAAGTTCTGTTTCATTTATTTCTGCTTTGATTTTTCATATTTCTGTTCTACTGGCTTTTGGATTTGTTTGTTCTTTTTCTAATTCCTCAAGTTGATAGAAAAATTTGTTTATTTGAGCTCTTATTTCTTGACATGGGCCTGTGTTGCTGTGTATTTCCCTCTCAGTACTGCTTTGGCTGAGTCTCCTGAGCCTGGGGTGGTTGTGTGCTTGCATGACGCACGTCCTTTATGTGACAGAAGAAGGTAGAGAGTGAAATGGACTTATCTTGCATTCCTCAAACACTTACATTAACTTAGAAAAGTTCTTTAGACCCGAGTTTTTCAAACTTGAATGTGCATTTGAGTCTTGTGACAATGCTGATTCTGATTCAGGGTGTCTGCGGTAAATCTCTTGGCACATCTGAGGTGCTCCCAGCTAATGCTGAGGGTCCCAGACATAGCAAGGCTTTAGACAAGACAGTATTGACAAGGTCTGTCAGTAGTGTTGTCACACACTGTCCCCTTTGCCTCCAGATAAGTACTCCTCTCAGTTTGGTGGTGGCAGTCAGTACGCTTATTTCCACGAGGAGGATGAAACTAGCTTCCAGCTGGTGGACACAGCACGCACGCAGAAGACTGCCTACCAGCGGAATCGGATGCGATTTGCACAGGTAGGTCAAGAGCAGGCTGACTCTGCTCCTGAAATGCTGCCTGTGCACACCAAGGCAGAGCATGTCCTTCGAGGTCTTCTCATGACTCCTAGGTAGCTATTCAGTGACAGACTGTCCTAAAAGTAAACCCATACTAGGCCGAGGGATACATCTGACTAGTTTAGATTTCTTTCGACTTACAGCTGGAATATGTACAACTCTGCTAAGAGTGGATGTTTGTGCTGCATTAAAAGGTGACTTTATGCCCATTAATTCACTTAATTGCTGTGTGCAGACTTTATTAAGTAGATGGTCTAGTTGGGCTGCATTTTGTTACATAAAGAGGCAAACTCAGCAACTCTTAATAACTGTCAATAAAAAAATGTGTTGTGTGAATATAAATCTAAGTTAATTCCAAGTACCCACTGCACTAACCCCACCCCCCGACAGCTTATTGTGTACAATAAGATGTGCAACTTGGATTCTGCTTCCTAAACTTGAAAGACCTCCTGTCAAGCGCTGCCAATGGTAAGCCAGACCGTCCAGATTTTAACAAGGATGTTTTTTCCTAATCCCCAGAGGAACCTTCGCAGAGACAAAGATCGACGGAACATGTTGCAGTTCAACCTGCAGACCCTGCCTAAGAGCGCCAAGCAGAAAGAGAGGTGAGAGTCCCGTCTTGTGAATGAGATTCTTGTCCAAGTGAGTTGTCCAGGGCTGACCCTGGGCTGAAATCATCAGGCCAAAACCGGAGCCTGACTGTCCCACCATTGCAAAAACAAAAACTAAGCAGGTTTTAGCCCCGGCATTATTCCCCCAGAACCAGTTCTTGGTAGACAGCATAGGTGGGACATAGACGCCGAAAGGAAACAAAGGCAGATGGAAGGAACTTTGGGGCCCCATTCATATGGGTTCTGGGAGCCCCCTAAAGTTGTGTGCTACAGCAGCCTTGCCCAGACTGGGACCCCCGGGAGCTGTGTGCAAAGTAGAATGGACCTGGTCAGTATTGGAGGGCAGTATGCCCTGCTAGCATTTCTAGAGTGTACCCTTTTGATCAGTTCCTTTTTACCAAGCTCCCATTGTTCATACCCAGAGAAGTCAGTGGTGTTGAGGGTTAACTGAAGAGTAGGACAGCTGCTGCCTCTTGAAGAAAGCCCAATTTAAAGACCTACACTGAAAGCAGTTTTCCTCTCTTTCCAGAGAACGCATACGACTGCAGAAAAAATTCCAGAAACAATTTGGAGTGAGGCAGAAATGGGACCAAAAATCACAGGTAGTGTGTCCATCATACCAGAACCCTGTCTAGGGACTTGTTCAGTTGGTGGTTTGGTTATAAAAGATTTGCTGAGCTGTAATTCACATGCTATGGAACTCACCCAGGTAGAAGATACAGTTGGATGGTTTCAGTGCAGTTACGGGCTGTCCCACCATCACTACAGTCAGACCCAGCCATTTTCCTCACCTCCCAGCCCTAGGCTATCACTGACCATGTCTGTCTCTGGGTTTGCCTAGTCTGAATGTCCCATAAACGGAATCTTGAAACGTGCTCTTTGTGACCCTCCCTCAGTCACCTTAAGCTCTTCAGGGGTCATCTTCGTTGCGACCTGTTGGTACTTCGTCCCTTTGCATTGCCAAGTCCGATGTACGGATAGGCCACGTTTTTCACCTATTGGTGGAGACTTGTCATTTCTGCTTTCTTGGTATTGTGAATAATGCTATTGTGAACATTTCTGTACAAGTGCTTATATGGACAGTGTGAGGACAGAAGACACATGGAACAAGAGATCACAGTTGTAGAAGTTGCATTTTGCTGGATATGACACTTGCCAGGGCGTAGACCTAAAGACATAGATCTAATATTCAGAGAAACTTACTTCTTTGTAAGATAGAAAAGAGTTACTGTTCCTGTATCTGAGCTCTTGACTGCTTCAATCCTTTTTTAGACAGTGCTCTTTTAGATTGTAAGAGCCTGATAGTCAGGGGCTCACCTTATAAAACAGCCAGTTTCATAAGCCAGTGTTCTGGATACATTTGTGGACTGAAAGCCCTTCCTCCCCTTGACCTGCTTCTTGCTCACTTAGCACTGGTCTGAATGTTTCTCTCCCATGGTTTTCCACTGCAGAAACCCCGAGACTCTTCAGTTGAAGTTCGTAGTGACTGGGAGGTGAAAGAGGAAATGGATTTTCCTCAGTTAATGAAGATGCGCTACTTGGAAGTATCAGAGCCACAGGACATGTGAGTGGCCTTCTGAACTGCCTTCCACCTGCCCCTGCCATGTAGACCCGCTGGTGTGAATGCTTTCCTAAGCCCCGGTGTCTGAGGAGGAGTTGAGGCCACTTACAAGATGTTGCATAAGCCTATCAACTGTTTGTAAGAGAATCAGGCCCAAGGGAGAAAAGCAGAAAGTTTTTGACATTAAATATTGGATTTCTTTCAACTTCCTGGTATCATAAGCAATAGGGAACTAAGATTGTTATATAGCTCTTTTGGCAGAAAGAGAAAGGGAAGAAAGCAGAAAGAAATTTGCTGACAGTAAACTGCACATTTCTTTGAGCTTCCTGGAATCCTAAGCAAGAGAAATTAAGTGAGGTAGCTCTCTTGGCAGAAAGAGAAAGAGGGCAATTCTTCAGGAAAAGCTGAGTTTCTCCTAATAGTTCAAAGAGCTCTTTACTTGGGGAGGGGGAGGGTATAGATGGAAATAACTTCCCGGAGGCCAGAAGTGAGCCCAACAGAGTGCCTGGTAACTGCTCATACCCCTGTCCTAGACTTGGTCTCCCTGGCTTTAAAATGGGGAGGTTGAGCGGAATCTGCTGGGTTCTCACTGGGTCCACCCTGATGGAAGCACCCAGGTCCTTCTCTGCTGTTCCCCTCGGAGATGCTGTTTCTGTTCCTCTCGTGTTAGACTTCTGGGTAAGACTTGACTCCATGGCTTGAAAGGGTAAAGAGCTGCTTCCCTTTTCCTTTGCACGTCTTGCCTGCTCTCTCATCAGCGAGTGCTGCGGCGCCCTGGAGTACTACGACAAGGCCTTCGACCGCATCACCACGAGGAGCGAGAAGCCTCTGCGGAGCATCAAGCGCATCTTCCACACCGTCACCACCACAGATGACCCCGTCATCCGGAAGGTGGGTACCCCGCACACCACTCACCTTGCAAGCTGGGCACTCTGAAGGAACAGGATGTGTGGTGTATATGGCTCTTTCGGGCCTTACAGACTCCTTTAGATACAGTTCTTCAGAATTGGCTTTAAGATTAGAGGGAAATTAAGGCATTTTGCTCCCTACTCCATAAACAGTGTCAACCACACTTCCTGGCTTTGTCTCCTGGAGACTGTTTTCTGATCCGTAAAATGGGGCAGAGGACCTACCACGTGCCCTGTCAGGTGCTCTCCGGGAATGTCACATTGGGCTGCAGTCTGGGCATCTGGGTCAGGTCGTGACCCAGCTGACAGGCTGCAGCCTCGCTCAGACGACTGGCATGCAGGGTGGATGGGAAAGCTCCTCACAGGAGTCCGGTCCCCTCCGAGTAATGGGCAGTGAGACGCATCAGATTCACGTTTCTTATCCTCTTTGCAGCTGGCAAAAACTCAAGGGAACGTATTTGCCACCGATGCCATTCTGGCCACGCTGATGAGCTGCACGCGCTCGGTGTATTCCTGGGACATCGTTGTCCAGAGAGTCGGCTCCAAGCTCTTCTTTGACAAGAGAGACAACTCTGACTTCGGTGAGCGGTCTGAGGGAGGCCTTCTCTTTGTTACAAAGCTAACAAAACCAGGCATTCTCTTAAGGAATCCAAAAAGGGTGAAAGGCAGTAGCTTTCTCAGAGTGTGACTGGATTTTTTTTTTTTTTTATTTATTTATGCGTACAAGAGCTGGGGTGCAGGCCAGAGATGCAGGAGGGGTGATGGGATTCACCAGAGACAGTGGTGAACAGAACAGGCAGACTGACCGAAATACACTGCTGAGGGGAGCAGCGTGAGACAGGAGAGGTCTGCTGCGCCATGTGGATTGCTCCCTGGCCAACCGGGGATCGAACTTGTGCTGCGGTGGCTGCAGGTTGCTTCATAGTGCGGTGCTTAACCCCTTGCACCACCAGGGAGGCCCAAAGTGTGACTGGATTTAACGTCAGATGCTGCAGAACTAGCCAAGGCGCACCCAGCGTGTCCTGTGCTTGGGAGGCCCATGTTGGCGGATGGCAGTTCTTTAAGGGCCTGTGTTGTTTGGGTTACTGCACACATTGGTGTACTGTGCTCTATGGGTGGATGACCCTGCTTGTCTCTTGGCAGACCTCCTGACAGTCAGTGAGACGGCCAACGAGCCCCCTCAAGATGAAGGTAATTCTTTCAACTCCCCCCGCAACCTGGCCATGGAAGCCACCTACATCAACCACAACTTCTCCCAGCAGTGCTTGAGAATGGTGAGTGGGGGGCCCTGCACATGGGCATTCGCTTGAGCATCAGCTACAGGGCTGTGGGGCTAAGGAAGCCAGGAGGGCCCCGCAGCCCCCGTCAGGAGACCTAGGGCTTTAGGCCGACTCCCTGACTTTGACCCCAGACCCAGGAGTTCATAGCGATGCGGTGTGGGGGTATGTACTGGGAATACTTGTCTCACGTAGACATGTTGGGGAAATCCCTTCAATTTGACAGAAATCCTGTTTCTATGCTAGGGACATAGCCATGAACAAAACAAGGTCCCTGCCCTGAGGAAGCTTCATTCGAATGGCAGAGGAGAGCCATTAAACCCTTGGTCCATATTGAGGCCACTGGCGGTGTGAGCCATGGAGAGGGGAGCAGGCGGGCCCACTGGGGAAATGGGCTGGGTGGGCGCGGCCAGCTCCTGCAAGCAGGTCACCAGGTCTGCTGTGACTCTTGGGCGCCCGCACTGGGAGGGGGAGTGGTGTGCAGCCCCCATGAGTCTCCCCTCCGGGACCCGGCCATGACTGACTGAGGAGAGGTGCAGGTCTGGCTGACGAGCTTGGTCACAAGTTGGTGCTGACCGTGACCCCCGTCATTTGTGCAGGGGAAAGAAAGATACAACTTCCCCAACCCAAACCCGTTTGTGGAGGACGACATGGATAAGAACGAAATCGCTTCCGTTGCATACCGGTATGTCGCCCTCCGCCCGGGTGCGCAGGCCCGGCCCTGTGGGGAAAATCCAGGTTCTCCGGCGACCGCGGTTTCTCCTCCGTTGCAGTTACCGCAGGTGGAAGCTCGGAGACGACATCGACCTCATTGTCCGCTGTGAGCACGATGGTGTCATGACCGGAGCCAACGGGGAGGTGTCCTTCATCAACATCAAGACCCTCAACGAGTGGGACTCCAGGGTGAGGCGCCCCTCAGCGTGTCCTGCGGCCCTGGTGTCACGGGCGTCGCTTGTCGGGCTTCCGAGATCTTTTCTGGTCTCCTAGGTAGTTTTTCCTCGTTGAGAAAGATGATCTGTGCGAGTCAGAACAGCCTTCCATGCCGTGTCCCTTTCTTCCCCTTGAGCCGCTGGCACCTGGCGTAGCGCGCCGGCACCCGAGTTGGCAGCCCTCCTGCCAGACGCGTTCTTCCACCAGCTGCATGCGCTGCCCTCGCCCTTACTCTGTAGAGCTTCAAACTCTCTTTTGTGCCATAACCAGTCCACTAGACACGTAGAGCCTTGACTCGCCCTTTGGTAGAGGCTTAAAGCACCCTTTGGCTCGTGGTTTGTTGGGTCAAAACCCCCTTTGTCCTAACACAGCAGCATCATGGGAGTGACGCTTGCTCGTCGTCACAGCCTCACCCCCACTCGAGGGTCGGAGATGCCGCAAGGGTGATGAACTGGGGTCATCTTAGAGCGCCTCCTGCCTCAAACTTCAACCTTGAATTTTGAAAAAGGACCCGCAGATCTACTCTTAACTCGCCTTCCATTGTTTTCCTGCTAAAAGTGACCTTGCCCTTCTAATGTCCTGCTCTGTGGACATTGAGCTTGTGGCCCACGGGTCCTCCCACTCTCTCAACTGGCCTCAACACCTCGACTCCTCCTTTGCCCTTCTGTTTGCTGTCAGGTGTGGGGTCTTCTCCCTCCCTTCTGGATTCTACGCCCTGGTTTAGGGCCCTATTCTGTATGCTCTCTATTTTGCATTTGTCCCCTAACAGAACCCCCTAACTTCCTCCTCCCCCCTCCCCCATTCAGCTTATCTCTGCCAATATCCAAAACCCAGCACCTCACACAGCACAGGTGTGTGGAAAGGCTCTTAAGATTTCGCAGCAGGCTCACAGGTGCTACAAGGGAGTTTAAAGCTTTGAGGGAAATGGACAGGTCAGAACACACAGGTGCTTGGGGCCTGGCTACAGACTCTTGCTTCCTCGCCCTCAGGGGCCCCCACCCGCAGCTCCTGCCCATGTTCTCACAAGGTTACCTGTTGCACCTCCTCTGAGAAACCCTACCTTAGCCGCGACGCGTGGGGAGCCTCTGCCATCCACCAGAGGTGGCTGCATTTTAACTCGCCGCGTGTCCCTGTCAGATGAGCTCTTCTGAGGGGAGGAATTGGTTTGCTGCCCAGTCCAGCCTGCTGGGGGGTTGCTTCTCCACAGAGAAGCGGGCACTCGGAGCTGGCTCACTCCCTAACCAGGCCTTCTCCGGCAGCACTGTAACGGCGTTGACTGGCGTCAGAAGCTGGATTCTCAGCGAGGGGCCGTGATTGCCACCGAGCTGAAGAACAACAGCTACAAGCTGGCCCGGTGGACCTGCTGCGCCCTGCTGGCGGGATCCGAGTACCTCAAGCTCGGGTGAGGGTCCTGCTGGAGCTGCCATCTGAGCGGAGGGGGCTGCCGGGGTGGGGCAGGGCTGGCCTTTCCCCCGCCCCTCGGGAGGCGCTTCAGAGCCGGGCGTCACTAGTTCACTGGCACCTGACTCCCACCTAAAACCCCCTCAAACCCGCCCCCCACTAGTTACGTGTCACGGTACCACGTGAAAGACTCCTCGCGCCACGTCATCCTGGGCACCCAGCAGTTCAAGCCCAACGAGTTTGCCAGCCAGATCAACCTGAGCGTGGAGAACGCCTGGGGCATCCTGCGCTGCGTCATCGACATCTGCATGAAGCTGGAGGAGGGCAAGTACCTCATCCTCAAGGACCCCAACAAGCAGGTCATCCGTGTCTACAGCCTGCCCGACGGCACCTTCAGCTCCGATGAGGACGACGAGGAGGAGGAGGAAGAGGAGGAGGAGGAGGAAGGTCTGTCCCGGCCTCTCTGGGTCTGCAGTGAGCTGCGGGCGCTGGGTTCACAGGGGGATTCCGAGACTCAACGGTGGCCCCAGGAACTGCTTCCCCGGGCTCTAGACCGTATGAAGGCGCTGGGGGGGGGGGGGGGGGGGAATGGCCCAGAGGCGAGGGTGAGGGAGAGGCATCTAGAGAAAGGCAGCGCGAGTCCCAGGTGTTAACCAGTTGTCCAAAGGAGCCGCGATCCGCTCCCACATAGCTATAGGGGCCTACCCTGCGTCTCCTGCATAGCCAGCTGGTGACTGAAGGAAATGCCTGTCACAGATTGAGGCGCTGAAAATCCTAAAGAGGCTACCAGAGGTTCAGGCAGGAAGGTGGGCACTGCGCCACATGAAATGACTCCTTTCTCTAACGTTGTCTTTCAGAGGAAGAAACGTAAGCAGGCGGGGACAGGAGCTGGAGTGGATAGCACCACGCCTGGAGGGGCCTGGTGCCTGGCGGAATGCTCGTCCAACTTGCTTCCTGAACAGATGGAATAAAAAATAAGTCTATTTAGTCTCTTTACTTCCTTGGGTGCTTGCGTTAATTCCTGCTCCAGAGCCCGAGGGAGGGGAACTACAGCTCTTCCTCTGGAGTTCAGAGTCTGGGTCTCATCACTGTGCACACACATTCGAGTCACATCCCTGTACGTGTGAGTGTGCCCTAGCTTTTGTTTCGGAGCCCCTTGAAATTCTCCTTACGTGGAGAGTGTTGTCGATGGCGAGGTCCCTTGTGGACACCCTTATCCGTCCATTTCCATGCACAGTTGTGTCTGAGCGGTGCGCACAGCCAGCTGTCCTGAGAGAGCAGCCCTGATAAGCTGAGGTGAGGCGCGGTTGCTGAAGGGACTGGGCGGGAGCAGCCTGGCTGCCCTGGAGATGGCTCTGAAGAGTCTGATGGCCATTCTGCTAGGTAGAGCTTGTACTGCTTTGTAAATTGTTTAATACTTTTCTTGGGCTGGTGACAGGATCTCAAGCTAGCACCCCCAAAGCAGTATGTCATAAACAAGCCGCCTGCAAGAGGACAGTGTTCTGTTCTTGCCACTAGATTTCTTTAGCAGGAATTCCAAGTCCTGTGAGCCCTGGAGCGTGTGGCGCCTGAAATCAGTGGCCTGGCCTGCCCTCTGTGGGGTCAACAGGCTCAGCTTGAGGAACGGTCAAGTGACCATTTTAACCAAGGCCTCAGAAAGCAGGCATAGGTGTGGTGCGTTTTGTCATTACAAGGGAGACAGCAGAAAATAATAGGGTTCAAGTGAGGGGTGCTAAACGGCAGATATTGAAGGGCTGTGATGAGTGCAGCCAGGTTTCTAGGTTGCCTCACCAAGCTGCCTGGCAGCCCTGCGGTGCCACCCAGTGGAATTAGGTGGAAGTTACTCCCAAGTTCATTTTCTAAAAACATTGTACATGAGCTCCCACATGCTTTTTTCATGCTTCATTCTTTGCCCTATCCCTACCTCTGATCTGGTGGCACAGTTGATTCCTCAACAGTCCTGCACTCAGGCTTTCCACAACACCTGGCTGCACATCCCCACCTTCCCAGTGAGACCCACAGCTGTGGCAGGTACTCAGAGGTTTGCTGGCACCTGCTCTCCACAACCCTAGGAAGGAGACCTCCAGGTTTCATTTCCGGTTAGGTAATTTGCCTCACCTGTCCCGTTACCACAGTTACCGAGGCCGGAGAAAGCACAGGGCACCATCGTGAATGAGACAATTTCTGCTCTCACGGCTTTTCTCTGACACTCATGAAGCAATGAAAACTAGAGTCCCGAACGGGTGCTTTGGTCTGAGAGCAAGGGGAAGGCTGTGCTAGACGTCCCGGCCGGCGACGGGCTGCGCTCCCCCTGCAGAGGTGGGAGATTTCCACTCCAGGCGCTGCCTCCCCCTGACCCTCTGCCACATCTCACGGGACTGCCCCATGCCCCGGGACCGCCTCATGAGGGTGTATATTCCACCGTGTGACTCTCGGGCAGGGGCCTCACTCCTGGGCAAGAGCGAGTGGAGTCGCCATGCACAGAAGGCCGGTCCAGGGTCGTGCCCTCGCCGGCTCCGTCAGCCACACCAAGGCTGCGCTTGGCGGATCTGGTCCAGCGTCTCCACAGGCCCCTCGCGGGCCTCTGTCTACACTACCCGGCTGCTAAAATACGATTCAGAAATGAAAAAGGTTTGTAACAGGTGGTTTCCCATCAAAGTCTCGTATGTTCTGTGTTGATGCGGCGGATGGCGGCACCCATTTAGAGCAGGCAGGTTTGGGGGGATCTGGGGTGCCCCCTCCCTGCCCATAACAAGTTCACAATCTGAAGTGAGAAGGGGCAGGGGCTTGGGGGGCAAGGGGCTAACTTCAGGCGCCACTTCCCAACTGCACCCCCCGCGTCCGCGCCCCGGAGGGCCCAGTGTGGGCGGGGCGGCCCCCTCCTGCGGGCGGGGACGGCGCGGCGTCGGGCCGCGGGCACCTGTCCGCCCTCCTCGGTCCCGCGTCACGAGCCGGGCCGGCACCGGGCGAGCCCGCCGAGGGGCGCTGGGTTCTGCCCCGACCCACCTGCCCGGGCCTCGCCGAGGACCCTTAACCGCGGCGCCCCCCCGGGTCCCCCGGAGGCAGCCGCGGCCACGCACGTGCGCACCCGGGCCGCCCCGGAGCCCGCCCGGCCGGTCCAGTCTCGGCCCGGCCCGGCCCGGCCCCTCCCGGCGTGCCGCGCGCGCGCACGTGACCCGCCCGGAGCGGCGGGCGGGCGGGGCCTCCGCAGACCGCGCGGCCCGCGGAGAGCCGGAGGTGCGGGCCGGGCCGGGCCGGGCCGGGCCGGGCCGGGCGGCGGGGGGCGCCGCGGCGGGGGCTCCGCGCGCGGGGGGCGCCCGGGAGGGGGGCCGGGCCCTGCCCGCGGCAGCAGGTGTGCGGGCATCCCTGCCACGTGACCGCGGGGCGGGGCCGGCACCTGGCGGGGCGGGGCCTCCCGGCCACACCTTCAGCCGGGGGAGGGCGTGGCCAAGGGCCGACTCCTCCTCCCGGGGGGTCCAACCTGGGGGGGCCCCAGAGGAGTGGGGGGAACCGCTCAAACCCGGGGGGGCCGTGGGGCGCATCCAGCCTCCGACTACCTGACAGTGAGAGGCGGGCTGTGGCCCTGGGGTCCGAACCCTGAAGGAGATCGAGGGGTTGGGGCATCCTAGGGGGAGCCCCAGATCCACGCTGGAAAGGATGGGGTGTGGGCAAATGACCTTGCAGGTCCCTGGGCTTAGCCCCAAATCGCGGTGAGGGCTCAGGTGAGCCCCAGCCCCGTTCCTTGCTCTCTCCCCAGGCTTCGGGGGGCCATCGCGGGCCCCGCGTCACCCTCCGGCCTGCGCAGAATGACCGTCCACGCCGCGGCCCCGCTGTGGGGCCCCCCGGGGCTGCTCCTGATGGTCGCCCTGCACCCCGCGCTCTGCCTGCGCCCGGCCAGGGACTACTGCGTCCTGGGCGCGGGGCCCGCGGGCCTGCAGATGGGCTACTTCCTGCAGCGCGCGGGCAGGGACTACGTGGTCTTCGACCGCGCCCCGGGGCCCGGCAGCTTCTTCACGCGCTACCCCCGGCACCGCAAGCTCATCAGCATCAACAAGCTGTACACCGGCAAGGCCAACGCCGAGTTCAACCTGCGCCACGACTGGAACTCTCTGCTCAGCCACGACCCCGGGCTGCTCTTCAGGCACTACTCCAGGGCCTACTTCCCCGACGCCCGCGACATGGTGCGCTACCTGGGCGACTTCGCAGACAGGCTGGGGCTGCGCGTGCTGTACAACACCACCATTGCCCACGTCACTCTGGACAAGGACCCGCAGGCCTGGAATGGCCATTACTTCATCCTGACCGATCAGAAGGGCCAGGTGTACCGGTGCAGGTAAGGAAGGGGGCCCGGAGCTCACCTGCTGCAGCTGGGCCTTCCTGGAGGAACTGGGGCGGGAGGTGGCTGGTAGGTGTGGGCGAATGGAGGAAAGGGAGCCTGCCTGGCTCCCGCTGAAACGGAGCGCCAAGAGGGTCAGCTCAGCCACCGTCTCCCAGGTGTCCTAAAGAATTGTGGTCAGGGCCTCCCCGGTGGCGCAGCAGTTGAGGGCTGGGTTGCGAAGCTGCCCGCAGCCTCTGCAGCGCCGGTTCGAGCCCCGGCTGCTCCCCAGCCACCGGAGGAGGGTCCCACATGGTGCACAGACCTCTCCTGCCGCCCACTGCTCCCCTCAGCAGTGTATTTCGTCAGTCTGCCTGCTCTGCTCCCCGCTCTGGCTCTGGTGAATTCTCTCACCCTCCCGTGCTTCTGACTGTACCCAGTGCTTGTATAAATAAATAAATAAATCTTTGGGGAAAAAAAAAGAGAATTGTGGTCAGATAGGTTTGGAAAATACTAACCCGCTCCTCCAGGACTGTTCTTCCGTATCTCCCCATTCACCGCGACACTCTCCTGCTGGCAAGTACTCAGCATTGTGGAAGCTCCTGCACCCACAAAAGTGTTTTTGTCCAGCGACTCCTAGAACTAGTGCTCCCCAACATTCTTGCGGGAAACTGTTGGGGCAGATGTCCAGCAAGTGTTAGGCATGGGATTTCAGCGCTTCATAGGAGTGGGGGGCCCAACCAGGGGGTGCCGGCGTTTCACATCGCTTGCTGTGGCTTGGGACAAAGCATGGCCCTGGATGGGCAACTCAGATTCAGGGTTCCACACTCTACTGCACTCATTTAGGCCTCGCAAGGACCCCAGGGGGAGCTTCACTGATCCCCATTTTCTAAATCAACGTGCTCAGAGAAGTGGAGTAATTGCTGCCAGGTCACACAGCTAAGATGTGGTAGAATTTGAGCTCCTGCCTTCTGACCTGTGTTCTCCCTGGTGTACCTGTTTTCTCTCTCTGCCTCCCACCACCTGGCCGTCAGCCCAGCCCTTGGCTCTGGGTTCATCAGCCTTTCGCCAGAGGTGCCCCCTCCTTGCTTGGGCAGCCCAGGGAAGCACGGGTTAGGGTGACTTGGACCCTGGCATTTAGGCAGCAGCACTGCAAGAAGGGTGTCAGCCGGGAGCAGAGTAGACAGGGTCCGAAAGCCAGGGGCACAGCTTCTCATGGCCTCCCCACCTCAGACCAGTGGGGTCACCACCGGTGATCAAACCGTTCTCCTGCGGCTCCCAGTGTGCCACCCCAGAACTGAACTCCCCACAGTCAGGTGTCACCTCACAGCAGAAGCAGATTCTGAGACATGTCATTGGGTGATTTCGTTGTCACACAAGTTGGCATGGGGCATAAATAAGATCTAGAGGCATAACCCATGATACACACCGTGGTGGGTGATACTGCCTGTTGGGGCCGCCATCCTGTGGGGTCCGTCATGGACAGAAACCACTAAGTAAAGCAGGACTGTAAAGGGCAGGACTCTGGACTCGGCCCATCTGTGTTCAGATTCTGGCTGTGGCCTTAGGAGCTTTGAGGCTTTGGGCCCACAGGGCCTGTGCCTCCTCGTCACCTGAGGAGGCCAGGTAACGCCACTCGCCTGAGGGTGAGATGATGCTAAAGCACTTGGTGCAAGGTTGGTCCGGATCACTGCCCCCGGACACCTGTCTCCTCCAGGCAAGTCAGAAAGCGGAGAGAACAGCAAGTCTCGCTTCCATCCCTGGGGCGCTCCTTGCTGTTCTCAGAACCGGCGGAACCACTCCATTGCTCGGGGAGGGACAGGGGCAGCTGTCTCGGGCTTGCTGGGCCAGGCCGGTAAGAGACAAAGGGCCTGGTGGTCTCTGGCTGGAGCCGCAGTCTGGGCGAGGCAGGCAGGCTGGGCGGGCAGGGCCCAAGAGTGATTTTCACTTCGGGGGTTCTAGCTAAGTGACCCCGCCTTCTTCCCTCTGTCCCCCCCACAGCGTCCTTCTTGTCGCCACCGGACTGTCAGTCCCCAACCAGGTTGACTTCCCCGGCTCCGAGTACACGGAGGGGTACGAGTCGGTGTCCGTGGACCCCAGGGACTTTGCCGGCCAGAACGTGCTGATCCTGGGCCGAGGGAACTCGGCCTTCGAGACGGCCGAGAACATTCTGGGCGTCACCAACTTCATCCACATGCTGAGCCGCTCCCGTGTCCGGCTCTCCTGGGCCACACACTACGTGGGAGACCTCAGGTAGGCTGCCCGCTGCCCTCGGCTGTCCCAGCGGGCCAAGCGCCCCTCCCTCACATCCCCTGGCAGCCTGCACACACCGCCCCTCTCTCCTGTCTTCTCCTTGGGCCCCAGGGCCATCAACAACGGCCTGCTGGACACCTACCAGCTGAAGTCCCTGGACGGGCTGCTGGAGTCTGACATGATGGATCTGGCCCTCGTGAAGGACCGAGAGGGCAAGCTCCACATCACCCTCAAGTTCTTCCTGGAGGAGGCCAACCAGAGTGCCGACGCCGTCACCCTCCCGCAGGACGACAGCGACAACTTTGCCATGCGTGTGGCCTACGACCGCGTCATCCGCTGCCTGGGCTGGAACTTCGACTTCTCCATCTTCAACAAGTGAGTCGAAGGGACAAGAGCTGGGACCTCTTAGCAGACGCCTCCCCGCGCCGCCTGGGGACAGAGTCACCTGCCACCAGCTAGGGATGGGCTTTCATGCACAGCAGCAATTTTCATCAACCCTTTTTTTTGATGCACCCTCAGATGAGATGTAGGTGCTGCCTGGTTTCCCACCAGGACACATGCTCATGGCTCTCGGGGGGCCGAGGTGGCCTCCAGGCAGTGGTGGTGGCCGCGTTCTGCATCTGACGCTCTCGCCCGGAGAGGGGAGAGGTCAGACAGCTGGTGAATTTGCTGGAAGGCGCTGTAGCCTCCAGGCTGATGCAGGCTCTGGGAAGGGCCTCAGATTCGCTACTCGCCAAATCTGTGTCATCGCTAAAATGGAGCTCGTTCTAGCTCATGGGGCTCTTATAAGGACCAGGAGTTTGGCCTAGACCTCAGGCTCCCCCGAAAGTCAGCTGCTAAGGTTGTGTACAATTGCTTTGAAGAGCCCCTTTGTCTTTAGATGTTGCTGCCCCAGTACCTAGGCCAGGCTTGGTGCCTTACTCTCCTCTGACCAAGACTCAGGAGCCCAGGGGACCTGGGGGCACCCACCCGGGTCTTCATCCAGAGCCCAGCCCCGGCAGGCTTGAATCCTGGCTCTGCCCCCAGCCTCTGCTGCTCCAGCTATTAATGCTTAAACGCTGTGCTAGCGTCGTGGTGTGGTTTCAATGAGATGAGCTAGAAAGCGCTGAGCTCAGTGCCCTCAGTGTTTCATGCACAGCAGCGATTTTGATCAACCCTTTCCACTCCCAGGTCCCTCAGACTGTCTTCAGGGGGCGAGTTCAGCAAGAAGTACCCACTGGTCAGAGCTAACTATGAGTCCAAAGGAAGCCGGGGCCTCTTTGTCCTGGGGACCGCCAGCCACTCCGTGGATTATCGGAAATCTGCTGGGGGCTTCATCCACGGATTCCGATACACAGGTGAGCCCGGCCGAGGAGGCCGCCGGCCCCACAGGGAGACTGTCGTAGGCGCCCCGCCTGCAGCAGACAGCAGTGGATCACGTTCTCTGGATATACCTAGAAAAAGCTCAGAGAAGATATAAAAGTGCCCGCTTCCAGAGCTGCTAGAGGCACTAAATCGAGTGCTCCCTGGCAGTACCGGGCACAGAGACTCTTTGGGCATCAAGAGTCCAGTGAAAAATGGCAGGTGGACATCAGGCTGCTGGGCGGGTGCTTTGGTGCCTGGTGGGTGACAGCTTTTGCCCTCATGGTTCATTTTGCCCCAAAACCCATGAGTCTTACATCCTGACATTTCTGTGTTTAACTTGAGGCCTCACTAGCCACCATGCTCACTTTCGTGTGTCAGAAGATAGTGTTGTTCTGCTGTGGACTTCTAGACGGGGTGTTTTCTACCCCGTGCTGTGAGGAAACCAGGGAGCAGCACTGTCTGTGCCTGCGGCTCTGCTAGTTGAATGCACGCCACGCGAGTGCCCCTTCCTCCTGTCTCCCCAGCAAGAGTCCCTTGTCACCGGCCTCTGTGTGTTCCTGTCCACACCCTGTCCCAGCAGGTGCTGCTCCATCTCCTTTTCGTCCCGTCCCCCATCTTGCCCCTGCTCACACACTCGAGCCTCACAACAGCCCCATGAGCAGAGGCGGGACCTGACGCTGAGGCTCACAGCCAAGGGGAAGTGGCACCAGGTGCCGAGGCCACCTCCGGTTGCTGTGGTCACTGAGGCATCTCCTAGGGGGAGGGCAGCGCGGCTGTACACAGCACATCCTGCCTGGCCCTTGCTCGTCATTTAGCTGGGAAACAGCTCCCAAGGGCGACATGTAGGATATATGAGGACAAAGAGCTGAACGATGGGTGGTACACACAGTAACTGCATGGAAAATAGAACATGCTGGAAGCCCCGCCACCCCACTCATGTCCCTCTCTTCAGCCCACCCCTACTTCCCTCTTCTTGGGGCCTCAGCGTCTCTCCTGCCTCCAGTCTCTGGCTTCCCGTTCAGCCACCACCCCCAAAACACCCTTTCTTTAAACTAAGACCTCTTACACCCCTCTGCTTTTAGCTCTTCAGTGACTCCCCACCCACCCCGGAGGCGTCCCAGCTCCTGGGCGGCCTTTAGAGCTTTGCGCCAGTTCCCTGCCTGCTTTTCAGAGTGTGCCAGGCGCTCTCATTTTATTCCTTCCCCCAACCCTCCTTTGGCCCAGCCCCCCTCAGCCCCCCTCACCACACAGTTCCTTAGCCTTTTGCAGAGCTCAGCCCTGTCCCCAGCGCTGCCCGCCCTTCCCTGCGCGTGCCGGTCGCCATGTGTCTGGGCGTGCGAGTGGCCTGCCTAGGGCCTGGCCTTTGTTGGGATTTGGGTGTGGAGTTGACACATTTTGAAGAGCAGGCCCCTGTGCCCGGTGCCACCTTTCCACAGCTGCGTGGAGCAGTCCCAGGCCGCAGGAAGACCCTGCCAGGTGGTAGAGCTTCCCCAGCCTCTCTGGATACACAGAGCTTCTCCAGACAGGACCTCCTGACCGTTTGGGTTAAGGCTGTGGGAGAGGGAGCAGAGGTCTTCCATGTCAGCAGCTCTGAGAGACCCCAGCACAGCGGGAGGGGACGGGTGTCAGGGAAAGGCTCCCTGGCTGGTTGTGACTCCTGGTGTGGGTGACAGCAGTGCCTTCCATTGCGGGCGGCCTGAGCAAGGGCCAGTCTAGGCACCTTCCGGGGGTCCATCATCCGTGCCTGCTGCACGCCAGAGGCCGAGCAGCCAAGACCGAGCCGACTGTGGCCTGCAGGCTGACAAGGCAGCCGCCCGGCCCGCCCCAAAGCAGCTGTGCAGGCCCCTGCTCAGAGCCCCCCCCCCCCCAGGGAGCTCATACAAGTGTGTGCTGAGTCCTGGGCGGTGTATCGATGCCGCCACCTTCCCAGTGACAGGGACACAGCCCTAAGTGCAGCTGCCACCTCCCTCTGGCCATTCCAGTGCGTGCTGTTCACCGGCTGCTGGAGCATCGCCACCACGGCGTGGCCTGGCCCTCCACCAGGCACCCCATCATGCAGCTGACCAGCGCCATCATCCGGCGCGTGAACGAGGCTTCTGGGCTCTACCAGATGTTCAGCGTGCTGGCCGACATCGTCCTGTTGAAGGAGTGAGTTGCCTCCACCCTACTGTCCCTCCCACCAGGTGTGGAATAAGCCAGTGCTTCTTCTGAGACGAAGCCCACGGGGCAGAGAGGAAGCTGTGAGGGGGAGGAGAGGGTCAGAATCAGTGAGAGCAACACAAGCTCTGCAGACAGCACAGACCTGGTGTGCATCCTAACTTGGCCACTTTCCGCCTGTGTGATCTTGGCAAGTCAGTCAGCCTCTCTGAGCCTTCCTCTCGTCTGCCCAGTGGGCAGCTCAGAGCTTCTGGCACCAAGATGATGCTCGGAGAGTCAGCAGGGGTCAGAGCCTTCCCTGGGGCCAGGCGCGTTGACTCCTCAGTGCAGTGATAGGCAGCAGGTCACAGCATGTGCCCAAGAAGGGCTGGAGGGAGGGTGCCCCGCGGAGGGGAGTGGGAGGAGGCAGGTGAGAGGCAGCCCAGGGAACACCTGGACCCAGGTCAGGGACTCGCCAGACCCCCAGTGCCAGAAGCCTCCTTCATGCCCGGCTTTCACACTCGCTTGCACGTTCAGACCCCCACCAGTCCTGTCCACTCTACCCTCAGATCAGGGCAGCGTCTGACCACCGCCCCGCCTTTGCCAGGGCTGTCCACGCCACTTGACCCCACCCCCGGTGCCTTTCTCCCCAGGAACGCCACTGCATTCGAGTACCTGGAGGAGTTCCCCGTGCAGATGCTGGCCCAGCTGGAGACAGTCACGGGGCGGCAGGCCCGCCACGGGCTTTTTGTCATCACCATGGAGTACGGCAGAAACTTCTCTGGGCCTGACAAGGACGTCTTTTTTTATGACCGGTCTGTGGGACACATGAAGGACGCCTGGCAGTCCAACTTCCTCCACCCGGTCATCTACTACTACCGGCACCTCCCCACCGGTGAGCCGGGGCGCAGCTCAGCAGGCACCCCCCAGGCCCCGCTGCCTGTGGGTCACGCCCTCAGCACTCTCAGCTCACAGGAGGAGGCCCCCTGGGGGCTGAGCCCAGAGACTGTTGAGGCAGGTGGTCGGAGAGCAGCAGTGCAGGCCCCACATTCCAGCAGGTCCCACGGCGTGGCCAGGCCACACAGGGAGTGTCATGATCGCCTCCAGGCACCACAAAGTCCGTCAGAGGACCTGTCCTGCCGGAGCATGTCCAAAGGAAGCTGACCCTGGTGGGGGCGGGGAGACCTGGAGCTGCTTCAGGGGAGCTGGAACTGCTGGTGCTGAAGTGATGGCAGGAAGGAGTACGAGAAGCTGGGTGGTAGCCCCAGGTTGTCCTTTCCCTGCCGTGTGACCTCGGACCGTTACTTAACCTCTCTGAGCCTCGGCTTCCTGGTCTGTAAGGTGGGGATCGTGGTAGCGCCCACCTTGTAGGGTCGTGTGAGGAAAGTGAGATCACACAGCCCCAGCAGGCGCCTGACCCGGAGCAGCTCCCGAGACGAATGACCCAGAACCGAGGGCCCGTCACCTGGAGGAGGCAGGGTTGTATCCCTTGGAAGAGACAGGGACGTGGCTTGGTGTTCCCTGGAGCAGCCCCACAGGGCCCGGGGGCTCGCTGCCCAGTACAGAGACCATCCAGCCTGGCCCCATGGCCTGCTGCTGCAGCCCCACGGCAGGCGGTTCACACCCGCTGGGAAGCCGGACTAGGTGAGCTCAAAGGCCCCTCAGGGTGAGAAAGGCCAGGTTAGAAGCAGCCACCGCGGACCTCCGTCCAGGCGAGTCTTAGAAAAGCCCCACGTGCAAGTGGCTCATCTCGGTGCTGCCTCCGACCTCTCACCGCGCAGGGGATGCCCAGTCTGTCCCTTCCAGGCCCGCGCAGGTGGTGGTGAGGTGAGCTGCTGACCGCACCCAGCACAGGGGTGTGTGGGAAAGCCGAGCGTGAGCCAGGCAGGCGTTAGGATGTGGGGAGCCTCCCGGCCCTGACGCCGCCCCCTGTCCTCCCACAGAGCAGGAGGTGAGGTTCCGCCCCGCGCACTGGCCACTGCCCCGGCCCACGGCCATCCACCACATCGTGGAGGATTTCCTCACAGACTGGACCGCCCCGGTGGGGCACATCCTGCCTCTGAGGCGCTTCCTGGAGAATTGTTTGGACACTGATCTGCGAAGCTTCTACGCAGGTAAGGCAAGTCCCAGCAGGACAAAGGGGCCGAGCTGGAGCTGGGCAGCAGACCAGCTAGCCCTGCCCCATGGCTTTTCGGGGAGCACACCTGGGGCCCAGACATGTTTCCTGACATGGAAATGCCCTCCCAGGACCACGCACCTGAAAACACTGAGTAAAGGGCTTTTAAAGACCTGGCAGGCAAAGAAGGAACTTCCCAAAGACCAGACAGTGAGGCAGGCGTCCTGGGCTGGTCAGCGGCTGACTGCTGGGGCCAGCTAGACCCTGGGTGTTGACCGGCACTTGGGGATGGGGGGGTGCAGCTGGAGGGGGGATCTGTGTGGACACCCTAAATAAGCTTTGTGGGTGAACTAGGAGGCAAAGACAGTCCCAAGAGGAAGACTGAGGAGATGAGGCTGCTTTTTTGGCTCTTCGGTAGAGGGGGGCAGGGTTTCTCCCCTGAAACTGGGCTCTGGGGGAGCTATGGTCTCAAAGGACAGTGCCCAGTGGAGGACAGTTGAGGGTCTGTGGGCTCGTCACCCCATAGATAGTGCACGATTGCAGGAGCATGCAAGCTTAGGGAACAGTGGGGTTTATTTAACAAACACGGGAAACAAGGCCACAGGTAACCGGCTAGCTCACCCAGTTAGTGTCCAGCGTGCAAAAGCTGCTCATCCAAAAGGGCGCCATTCCATCACCGAGGGCGTGGAGCACGTGGGTCCCGCTCACCACATTGCGGGTGTGCAAAGGTGGGGCCACAGCAGCAGTCTGAAGGTCAGCATGGACAGCACAGACACTGGGCCAGGCAGCAACGGAGGCAGCAACACCAAGAGGTGGTGCTGGAAGATTAACAGCTCTCACAGGTGACAGAGAGAGCCGGTCACCGTCAACAGGCCTGGACAGCGCTGGCCAGCAGAGCCGATCACCCACTCACTAGCGTTATAGCTTTTTGTGAGCTGTTGTTGGCCCAACCCGGGCCTGAGGCCAGTGGCTCCTTCCAAGCAATGTCAGAGGCATGCAGAGGCCCAGGCAGAGCTCTCTGGCTTCTCTGACACTTTTTGGCTCCTCCTCCTCCTTCAGAAGTCAGCTGCTGGATGCATCTGAGAGCGTCCAGTCTGAGCAAGCAAGTGTCCAGTCCAAGTACGTCCAGAGAGTGAAGGAGCCCAGGAGCCAGAATGCCAGAAATGGAGGCCCCAGCTGGCTCCTCTCCCAGGGTCCCCACCACCACCACTAGTCTGATTGGACCATTTACAGTCAGCTCACAACTCGCACCTGCTCGGTCCCTTCCAGGATCCTGGCACCAGACCATGGGCCTCTCCACTGCCTGCAGCTGGGGAGCCACAGCGTAGGAGCTGGCCCTGGGGTAGGGGAAGCGCCGCCATCCACCATCACTGCTCACCACCTGCTGCAGCTCTCACTGCCCACAAGCAGTGCTCTGAGGCCAAGCTCCGGCACCCCGAGGAGGGTCTCCATTTTCACTCTGAGAATTCCCAACCACTAGACCTCGCTCCTGTGAGTTTGGGTCCAAAGTTCTCACCATCCCTGTAGTGCAGGAATCAGCCATTAAGGCACACCTGCTGTGAAGGACCATACTTTAGAAAGTAGGCCTCCCAGAATTCCCACCAAGCCTCAAGGAACATCAACTCCAAGCAAAAATCACCTGCCACGCAAGGACACACCTGTCAGCCTGAACCGGGTTGTTTCACTCATCACTCAGAAGCCAAAGGCTGAACCACGAAGAGTTTCTGCAGAGGCAGTGACCCCCATAGGGGTCAGGCCGGGCACTTCAGAGCGGGCTCCTGAGCCACCTTTGAGAGGGTGTGTATGTAAACCGGGGGGTGGAAGGGGCCAACTGGGCCAGTCAACTCAGAGCTGTGATGGTTTTCCTTCTAGAAAGCTCCTTTGCTCTTTCGCTGGGCCCTAATGACCTAAGATGGCTCCTGGGAGGCAGGTGTTGCCTGTTATGTAGAGGACAATGCTTGGAGCGGGTCGTCAGCAGCCGCCTCTGACAGGTCACAAATCCACCTTGAAGGAGCATCAATAGAAATGACAAAGGAGGCGGGAGTTAGCATGGTCAGAGGCAGGATGTCGAATGTAAAGAAATCACAGAGGTTATTGACAATATCATGAAAGGGGCAAAGACAAAAAGTGACCGGGCAGTTATTGGAAGATCAAATAAAAGCTCTGGAAATGAGAGAACAAGCTTGTAATTAGAAGCCCAACGGAGATGCGGTAGCACGTTGGGCAGAGGAAGAGAGACTGGAATGGGAACGTACCTCCCACAGCCGAACCCTAAAACCAACCAGGGGAGGGGAGCACAGACTGGAACGTCTAGGATCTCTGCCCTTCGCTGCTCAGCGGGCATCTGGTGAACGTCTTTGAATGCCCAGCACCACTCATGTCAAATCAGGTCAGAGGGCAGCCCTGGCCTGCAGGTCAGAGAGCCGCGACCTCGCTCTCCACCCCCAACGCCTCACCTGCTCAGTTCTCCTTGATGTGAAAGAGAGCATGCTGGGGCGGCAGCTTAAAACAACTTAAATAGCCTAAGCAGGCAGCCACTGGGGGCAGACTGCATGGGGCGGGCAGGTTCATTGTTGATTCAGGCAGACGGAGAAGAATCTTGGAGCCCTTGATAGATGTGACAGGCCTTTCGAGCTGAAGCGGGGGAGCAGGCTGACCGGCAGGCCGGGAGGCAGGCAGCAACTGAGCCTCCCAGCCCCCGCCATCTCCGCACCCTCTCCCTGGCTTCTCCCTCTCCATCTTTGCCTTGTAATGACCTCTCGGCCTGGGCACCTGACCCAGCCCTGCAGGTGTGCGTGCCCCGTGCTCCCGGCTTAGCCTGAGCATCTGCCATCATAGGCGCACCTCATGCTCATGCTCCCAAGCACTTTTTGCAGTAACACATATCACGCGTGGGCAGTGGAATGTGTGATCCTTTGTGATGTGCCCAGCTTTTGCTTGAGACAGAAGGTCGAGCAGGGTTTTCTGATGCCCTCCTTGGTCCTGCTGTGTCCAAACCCCTGGTAGCAGGAGCCCCTGTGTCTCTTGTCTTTCCTGTTTTGTAACTTTTCCTAAATGCTTGGCTAACAGGCTTTTCTCTCCCACCTCCATCCTCCTGCCCCAGAGGACCTGCTCGCCACTGCTTCTCCCATCTGCTTGTTTCTTCATTTTGCTAAAGCACAAGCCCCCACGGTGATTTCCTGCTCTGTCAGTGTGGCCTGTGCACCCACTCGCGGCTGCGGTATAGACAAGGGCTTGCAGGTTTTAGCCTGAGCTCCCACCAAACTTCACGCGCCATCTCTGCAGCCAGACGCTGTGGGGCCAGTCTTTGCAGACAGCTCTGCACTCTAGGTAGTCTGACCACTGGTTCTCTGCCTCACCCCTTCTGTGAGCTCCCGCCCAGTCCTGCAGACCTGAGGAGCCCTGCCAAGTCTGTGCTTTGCTGTCATTCCAGAACCTTCCCCAATGTCGGGGTGGCCTGTTTCTTGGAACCTCAGGGAGGGAGGAGATCTGTGGCTGCTCCTCTCAGTCGTGAGATACCCAGAGAGCCAGCACCCAGACCCCGGGGCTCCACTCCCCAACCTCACCCCTCTCACTCCTCTCCCTCCTTTGCCTCTGTAGAGTCCTGCTTCCACTTCGCCCTGACACACCAGAAACTGCCGCCCTTTTGCCAGCAGGGCTACCTGAGCAGACAGGGGCTGGTGGGAACCGAGCGGCTCCGGCAGCTGGGAGAGGAGAGTGGGCTCCTGCGGGCTTCCACCGCTGCGGGCCGGCGCCCCGGGGACAGCAGACAGCAGCCTGGCCACCCTGAGCCAGTCGATCAGCCCCCGACTCCAGTGCCTCTGGCCCAGCTCCAGGACAGCAACAAGGAGGAGCTGTGACGGGCAGGCTTCGCCCCACAGCCCCCCACCCACAGTGACGTGATTGCCAAAGACACAGGGACCACCGCAGTGCACGGAGCCCCATGGAGGGCACACGGGGCCCGAGGTGGTGCGGCTGCCCGGCCTCCCTCCCCTCCTGGTCAGTGCGGGTGCCCAGAGGCGGGGTCTGGAGAGGAGCACCCTCCGCCAGGTGGGAACACCCTCCACACCAGGCTTGTCTGCAAGTGAGCGGAGGGCGGCCTGGGCTCCGGGTCCTCAGGGCCCCGAGGCTCCTCCTTCCGTCTGCTCTTCCGATGAAGCCGGTGTAGCCCTCCGGGACGTCTCACTGGGAAGCCCAGTCTCACCTCCATGAGGGGCCGGCGTACACCTTCAAATAATCAGGCTCCAAGTGGCCTCAGCCGTGTGAGGCAGGTGGGACGGTGGCCCCTGGTGAAGACACCCCCTTAGAGAGGTAGGGTGACCCCAGGGTCTCCAACCACCAGTCTCTGCAGGTAGCCCTAAAGCCTGCTGTCAGTAACCCACCACCCGGCCCGCCCTCCCCCGCCTGTTTCCAGAATGCAGGGGTCAGCCTGGCTTATCACCCAGGGTCTCAGAGCAGCACAGTTCCCAGCCGCCCTCTGCAAGCCCACGCCCCCGAATCTTCCCCGTTTTCTCTTCCTTCATCCTCCCAACACCCTGCTTCGGCTGCGGGGTCAAGGTTTGCAGAAGGTCTCCATGCAGTCTCCAGCTGGGCTTTCAGGGGTGCCCCCCCCACCCCCCGGCTATGTTGCAGAGCAGCTCAGCTCTGGGGCATCTGGGAGGTCAGTGCACATGATGCGTGAGAACCACGGTGAGTTCAGCATCCAGTCCCCGCCGCGGTCTGGCTCACCTTCCCCCTCCCCGCAGGCATTAAGCTGTGGGGAAACTCAGCTGTAGGAATTAATCATCTGATTTTTCAAAGCCCAGGATCAAAGGTGAGTGCTGTCTCACTGGCTCTTGCTGGTCTTTCTTTTGTCCACTCAGCACTCGCAGCACCCAGGGGCTTCTGGATCCATAGCCCTTTCCGGAAGCATCCTCTCCCTCTCTCAGTGAGGCCCACAGTCCCTCCTCCCAAGCCCATGGTCTGCGGAGCCGGCTCCCTCTGGTCCCTCACAGTCGCCGCATGCCAGCCCAGCAGCCCGCACCTGTCGGGGAGGGTCTGTCGCGTGACCACGTCGTTTGTTCAGGTTGAAACTTCTACACGGACGTTCTCTCCTGGGTCCTGGTGCTGGATTCTCACAGGTTACAGGTCATTCTAAATTGAGAATTTGGAAAATTCCACCTGCACCTAAACCCTTTTAGAAAATGAATCTTTCAACTGAGATTGCACTCATGACATCATTTTACACACTTGTTGCCTGCCCAGCTACCAAAGGCTAGGCTAGCTGAGCCTCTTGCTCCAGTGGAAGTTCGAGGTGCCGTAACAGGTCCTTTACTGGCCTGAAATGTGCCATCCGCCACATCGTTAATTCAGAGGATCAGCCGGCGGCACTGAAGGCAAGCGTCTGTTCCCACTCAGCGGTGAGAGACAGCTGCCCAGGTGGTCTTCTCTAAACTAGGAGTTGGCATCAAATAGGGAGCTGCTTTTTTTCCTGTGAAGTTCTTCGCTGCCTTTGCAGGAGAGCCGACTTAGATACTACCCACCCCACCTCCCCCACCACCATATCCCCTCCACCCACCCTCGCTCAAACCCTGGCCCCTGCCCCAGCTTCAGGCTGGCCACCTTGGGCAAGTCTGCTGGTTGTGGGAGTTCACATTTTCTACTTTATTGCCTTGTTCCTTTTTTTTTTTGCTCAAATCTGGACAGCCCTTGAGCACATCTTTTCTAACTGGACCAAGTTCCCCTTCCAGCTGAGGCCTGACTTCATTAAATCCTTTTTTAAAATATTATAAAGTTGCTGGTGCAAGATAGGCAAATAGGCAAGATAGGCAAATCAGTGAAATTGCAGGCCAGAACTGAACCCTGTTCTAAGTGAGGAGGGGATTTGAAAAAAAATCACAAACCAGAACAGGTTGTGCAGGGCCATGCAGTTAATGTTGGACCAACTGGTTAGTAATTTAGAAATGAAAATGAATCCCTTAGGCCCCTAGTTCACACTACAAATCAACTCCAGATGAGTTTTTTTAAGCCATCTAGAAACTGAAGATGAAGGGAGGAACTGCAATAAAAGGAAAAACTTTCCCCAAGTTCGGAAGCAGCAGTAATTTTCCAGATGAAGGTTTAACATCTGTAAATACACCCACCTAACCCCTCCTTAAGGTGACAAATGGTGGCAATTTTGAAGAAAATGATAAAAATTAAAAGGCAGCGTAGCATGGATGAAAATAATGAATCAGAATGCAACACACAAAAATAAGTGAACAAATGTGTTTGCATCCTGAAGAGCTGATTGAAGTAGAGAAAGGAATAGTTGAGGAAACTGTGGCTCATTCATCCAGCGGAATCCTGCACCGCTCCTAACAACTAAAAAGTGTGAAAGACCATGGACCAGAAATGCACGTGTGATGAAGTGAAAAGCAGGATATGAAATTGTGGTTGCAACCACTTGTCGCTGTGTCACTGAAACGATAGGAAGGAAATAATGTCCTCAGTGGTTGGATTCCGTTTGTGGAAGTGATTTTTTTTTTTTCACTTTTTGTCCAAATTTGTGATTATGCTCAATAGTGAAATAAACACGTTTATTTTTTGCTAAATTGCTTTTTGAAATTTAAAATGGCTGTGGTGAGTTGGAACTGGGAGCCCCGTTGGTCTAGGTGTGGCCGATGGTGGTGTCCCTGCCACAGCTGGGCACACAGTCCAGACGTCTCAGGGGGAATCATGCTTCGTCTAGGGAAGTGAGTTGTTTGTTTGTTTGTTTTTAAGATTGATTTACTTATGCATACAAGAACTGGGGTACAGGCCAGAAATGCGGGTTGGTGGTGCTGAGAGGATTCACCAGAGACAGAGCAGGGAACAGAACAGGCAGACTGACTGAAATACACTGCTGAGGGGAGCAGCGGGTACGGCAGGAGAGGTCTGTGCCATGTGGTATTGAACTTGTGCTGCAGTGACTGTGGATAGCTTCATAGTGCTTATGCCACCAAGGAGGCCCTGGAGAAGTGAGTTTTAAATGGCGCATGCTACTCTCCTAAAGTCTTTGACCCAGAGCAACAGAGGAAACTTGTGAAAGAGTCATCCTTCGCAAGTATCAGAAATTGAAAGTGATTTACTCTCATTTCATGGAGGTCCCCTGGGGCTTATCATCATTCCATTATAGTGTCCCAGAATGATTCCTTTTAATGCATCTCTAACTGATAAAAGTAGGATGTCCCTAAAGTAAGCCTGGGGATCAACTCACCAAGAAATGAATTTGTCTGCTAAGTGAACCACAGCAGCTAATGGTTCATTGAATACTAGAATGGCCTTAAACATGTCCACACGCTCCTTGATACTTCTCCAAAGAAGTGGAGCTTTGTTCCTCCATGGGAGCTGGATTTATTGATTCACTTTTTTTTTTTAAGATTTATTTATTTATACAAGCACTGGGTACAGTCAGAAGCGCGAGAGGGTGAGAGAATTCACCAGAGCCAGAGCAGGGAGCAGAGCAGGCAGAAGGACCGAAGTACACTGCTGAGGGGAGCAGTGGGCGGCAGGAGAGGTCTGCGTGCCATGCGGGACCCTCCTCTGGTGGCCGGGGAGCAGCCGGGGATCGAACCGGCGCTGCAGAGGCTGCGGGCAGCTTCGCAACCCAGCGCTCAACCGCTGCGCCACCAGGGAGGCCCTGATTGACTTCTTGCAAATAAAACAACAGCAGCAAGAGGATGTCGTTTCAAGCTCAGGTGATAAAAAGCATCTGTCCACTAAAACTTTCTCTGACTAGAGTCACTCAGGCTACCTCCTACCATTTGAAAGGACAGCCAGGAAAGGACCTCAGGCCAACAGCCACAAGTGAGCCTGGAAGCAGGTCCCATGCCAACCCACCCTTTGTGTGAGAGCAGCTCTGGCTGCCATCTTGGACACAGCCTCCTGGGAGACCTGTGCCTCAACTACCCAGCTGAGTAGCTTTCCGTTTGCTGTTGCACAGAAGCTTTGAGGTCATGCTTATTGTTCTAAGCTGCCAGATTTGGGGAAAGGGTTGCTGTTTGTTACACAGCAATAAATAGCTAATACACGCACTAACTTACCAACATAGACTTAATCCTCTCCCCAGCCCTAAGAGGTAGATACTATCCCCATTTTACAAATGTGGACCCCAAGGTTGAGAACACTTCCCAGCAAGAGGGTGGTGGGGTGCTCATTTCCAGCAGTGGGATTCGCTATCAGATGTGCACAAACCAGATAATGGCATCAGGGTTTTTAGAAAAGAAATGGGCTTTCTTGTGAATCAGTCGGCAAAGAAACAGAATATAAACTCAAGTCCGTCTCTCCTATTAAGAAAGGGAACGAGGTTCCACAGGCTTGGGGGTCCAGAGTGGAGAACAAAGGAGTTAAATTTTACTTGGCTAAGGAGTGGGCTGGGGGCAAGGAGATGTGAGCTTGGCTGAAGTTCATTGGCTGGCTACAGGGCCGTTCACACGTGAAGGCTAGCAAGGCTGTTCTTCAGATCACTGGAGTCTGGAATTTCTGTTGGCCCCTCACCCCCAGGGAGCCCTCGTCCCTCTATCTGTCCCCCAACTCCAACCAGCCTCGGAGCTCAGCTCAAGTTTAGTCAATAAGCCTCCAGGCTCTGCTGATTCTGCAAACGCAAGAGAGAAGTTTATTTTTTTAAGATTTATTTATGCATGTGAGAACTGGGGTACAGGCCAGAGGTGTGGAGGGGTGAAAAGATTCCCCAGAGACAGAGTGGGGAGTAGAACAAGCAGACTGCCAGAAATACACTGCTGAGGGGAGCAGAGGGGAGACAGGAAAGGTCTGCCGGGCCATGTGGGTCAGCTTCCTGGCGGGGGAGCGAACTCACTCGTGTTACAGTGGCTGGCGATAGCTTGATAGTGCTGAGGCTTTAAACCCTGCACCACAAGGGAAGCCCCCAAGAGAGAAGTTTAGGTAAGTTTTTTCTCTCCTTTGTGTCATTAGGGTCTCAAAATAATTGAACGATCTAGCCTTTGTTTCAGTGCCTTGAAAATCCACCTTCAAGTCTTTCTCTAAATTTGGGAATCCAAATATTAAAGCCGTCAACTCGTCATCTTCCCTGTGAGTTTTCTTCTTGGGGACACTGGGTGACAAAAAATTAAGAGACTAAGCAAATCTCAAACGTAGGAGACAGTATATTGTGTGTGGCTCCCCCAGGAGGGCAGAGAAGTGTGGACACAAAAATTATGCAAAAGTAGTCCCTGAAAAGGATACTAATCCAGGGACCTCCCTGGTGGCACAAGGGGTTGAGATACAACCTATGAAGCTATCCGCAACCACTGCAGCACGAGTTCGATCCCCGGCCCATATGGTGCAGCAGACTCTTCTGACTCAACCGCTGCTCCCCTCAGCAGTGTGTTTCAGTCAGTCTGCCTGTTCTGTTCCGCACTCTTTCTGGTGAATCCTCTCACCCCCCGCACCTCTGGCCTGTACCCCAGCTCTTGAATATGTAAATAAAAATATCTTTAAAAAAAAAAAAAGAGGGCCTCCCTGGTGGCACAAGTGGTTAAGCACCACACTATGAAGCAATCCACAGCCACTGCAGCAAGAGTTCAACCCTGGCTGGCCAGAGAGCTACCCACATGGCGCAGCAGACCTCTCCTGTCTCCCTGCTGCTCCCCTCAGCAGTGTATTTCAGTCAGTCTGCCTGTTCTGTTCCCCACTGTCTCTGGTGAATCCTCTCACCCCCCACACCTCTGGCCTGTACCCCAGCTCTTGTATGCATAAATAAATAAATCTTTTTAAAAAGTAATTTAAAAAAAGAGAATACTAATCCACTCCATCCAACCAGATCTTCTGTGATAGGGCAGGCTGACCCATGACAGGAAAGGAAAGGAAAATTTGGGAATCTCAAGTGTCAGCCCCACCAGGCTTCAGCCTCACAATCCTTGCTTCTCTGACCAATGACAACATCATCCTCCAAAAAGCCAGATTGGATTCTTCCCTAGAAAAGAAACCATTAGCTGCATCATTTCACTGCAGATGCTTATTTTTTAATGTGGTAAAAATGCTGACTGGGCAAAGGTTTTTGTCAGACTGCAGACTTTAAAAAAAGCATTTCATTAACAATCTGGCATCCCAGACAGAATGTAAATCTGCTACAAAATGAGGTTGATGGGCACATGGATGAGCTGCTTTAGCCCAAGTATATCACATATCTAGTCCATCCACCCTGAAATGAAACACAGCATGCCGCAGATGTCTTTCGGCAGGGAAGAAAGGGCCAGCAGCACAACCCACCCCGTTCATCCCACCTTCCCAATCCTGCATAAACAAAGCTGATTTGCCTGCGCTCTGGAGAAGCCTGAACTTGGTGCACAACGCAAAATCTTTCAAAAACCTGGCACCTCGTGTCTTGGAGATGCTGCCATCTCATACAAGTCTTTCAAGTCATTCCAAATTGATATAAAATGACTAGATGCATGGGCCTCCCCAGTGGCGCAGCGGTTGAGCGCTGGGTTGCGAAGCTGCCTGCGGCCTCTGCTGCGCTGGTTCGATCCCCGGCTGCTCCCCGGCCACCGGAGGAGGGTCCCACATGGCACACAGACCTCTCCTGCCGCCCGCTGCTCCCCTCAGCAGTGTCCTTCGGTCCTTCTGCCTGCTCTGCTCCCCGCTCTGGCTCTGGTGAATCCTCTGACCCTCCCGCGCTTCTGACTGTACCCAGTGCTTGTATAGAAAAATAAATAAATCTTAAAAAAAAAAAATGACTAGATGCAAAACATCTCACCACCAACAAAAAACAACAATGCAATAGCTCAAAATAGTCAGTGTGATTACAGCCTGTCCTGGTAGATTAGAAATAAAACTTCAAAAATATATGAGATGAGCCTTTTAACGCTAAGTTTAAATTTTAAATATTTCAATCTGTCATGGCAAAAGAGGTGTCCAGAAGTGTCCACCAGAGCATTAGCAGTAGATAGAAGAGGGCCAAAGTGACAGCTCCTATCAAAATGTGGTCCTATGTCCCTTTGAGTTAAGGCTGCTTCTGGGGCTGTATTGACCAAGAGAACTTGGTGCAAGGATACTGTGCCAGTTTCTAATTGAGGGGGCTGGCAGCTTCCATGGCCTCTCTGGGAACACAGCCACCACACAGTGGGACAGCCCCAGGGAGAGACTCATGCGGCGAGGCATTGAAGTGCCTGGCTGAGTTTCCAGCTAAGAGCCAGCACCAACTTGCATCCAATGGGTGTGCCGTCTTGGAAATGGATTCTGCAGCCCCAGGTGACCTTACCACGAGGAGCAGAAATGAGCTGCCCCTGCCCAGCCCCACCCAAACTTCATACTTGTGAGCAAAATGATTGTTGTTATTTTAAGCAACAACAATAGAAAAGAGGGATAGGCACCTTGGGATGAAATATGGTGTCTTCAGTGAAGCTGAACTTGTGAGAACAGGTACAGCATCTGTATTAGCAATTGCTAATAAGCAAGTTACAAAGATAGTTGCCAAGCACATCCATCAAGGAACTCTCAGTAAGCTACAGGTATGATGTTGTACCACTCTCTGTGTATACTGAGCAATCGATTCAAAAGTAAGAGAAGTGGGGCCTCCCCTGGTGGCACAGC